TGTAAGGCGGAACAGGATGAGCACTGCCAGACCCCTACATAATGACTTCCATCAGGCCACTGGTGTGAATGTCTCTGACCAAACAATCTGAAACAGACTTCATGAGGGTGGCCTAAGGGAGGGCCCAACATCCTCTAGTGGGCCCTGTGCTCATTGCCTGGCACCATAGAGCTCGATTGACATTTGCCATTGAACACCAGAATTGGCAGGTCCACCACTGGTGCTCTGTGCTTTTCATCGATCAGAGCAGGTTCACCCTGAGCACATGTGACAGACGTGAAAGGGTCTGGAGAAGCCATAGAGAATGTTATGCTGCCTGTAACATCCTTTATCATGACCGTTTTGGTGGTGGGTCAGTGATGGTCTGGGGAGGCATATCTATGGAGGGATGCACAGACCTCTACAAGGCTAGACAATAGCACCCTGACTGCCATTAGGTAATAGGACGAAATACTTGGACCCATTGTCAGACCCTATGCTGGGTTGACACAACAATGCCCGGCCTCATGTGGTGAGAGTAGGCAGGCAGTTCTTGGAGGATAAAGGAATTGATACCATTGAATAACCCCCACGCTCTCCTGAACTAAATCCAAAAGAACACCTCAGGGATATAATGTTTTGGTCCATCCGACGCTGCCAGGTTGCACCTCAGACTATCCAGGAGCTCAGTGATGCCCTGGTCCAGATCTGGGAGGAAATACCCCAGGACACCATCTGTTGTCTCATTAGAAGCATGCCCCAATGTTGTCAGGCATTCATAAAAACATGTGGGGCCCATACAAACTATTGAGTACCATTTTGAGTTGCTGCAATGAAATTTCAGCAAAATGGACTAGCCTGCTGCATAATTTTTTCACTTTGAATTTCAGAGTGTCTTTGAATTCAGTCCTCTGTAGGTTGATAATTTTCATTTCCATCCTTACATTCCTAACACATTACCCAGTCCATATCAGTATAGATATCCAGCGTGATATTTTTCCCCATTGAGATCTGATGTGTTTTCAAAGTGTTCCTTTAATTTTTTGAGCAGTGTGTTATTACAGATTTTCATTTTTTCCACTTTAATTTGTTTTTTTTTTGTATTTTTCAAATTTTTTTTTTCTTTTGAATTTTTTCTCATAAGGACAGTAAGGCTGTAACTAAAGTGATCACATATATGGACTACTGGATGTCAAGGATGTACCACTGGCTACAAGTGGCCCAATTTCTGATTGAGGTAAAAGCCTGCCCTACTGCACATGTAATGTCAGATAGGGTCTTCAGTGCAGTGGGAGAATGAGAAATTAACCTAAAACACCCACTGCAGTTGTTACTGATAAAATCTATACATTTATTTTATGCACATGTAATTATGAAAAGACCAAACACTTTATTTAATACATAGGCAGAAGATTGCAATGCACTTGAGGTGAGGATGTGCAATATTTTGGGTGTGCTTAATTTTTTTTCAAAGGATGCAGTGAGGTGCTCCAAAAAAGCAGTTCTTGGACTGGACTGCCAACAACTGCCTGGTGCACTCTAATCAACCCAAGCTAAAAGTTACAATCTAAAAAAAATATTAGAGACATTTAATAGAAAAAATAGCTAAGGTGTTAAAAATGAATAAGCTAGCTATTAATTAATTGTGGACAGACTTTGGTCCTTAAAAGGTTATTTGGATGTACAGATCTTTGCACACAGGTAGAGCACATAAGAAAATGTACATCAGCACTGCAATTGAAAGAACTCAGAGATCGTTTGTTAAAGTAGATGTAAACCCATGTCAATATTACTTGGAAAGTCTATTTTATTTAAAAGGCTAGCTTTCATGAAAAACACAGCTGGTGATATTGATATAGAGGTCCTTGTATGGGAATGCCTATAAATCACCCTATTACATACTCTCCCAAAGGAAACAATAAACTTCTGTGTTGATGCATTATGCCCAGGCATTTTGCACTATTGTACAGGTTGTTAAGAGGCTGTGGAAATGACAACTGCAGGCAAAAACAAGTAGGTGACATACCCCATGAAAAAAAACTATGCAGCCTGTTATATGCAGTGAATGTGGACTGAGACAGACTGTGAAGAGGATGCAGCACATCAGTGACATTATGCAAAATCCCATATTTACCCACACTACCAAATTTTCCACGATACACAGCATTTAGCTACCTTACCGACATTCAGTAGGGGTTTACTTTGTTTTTAAGATACCAGACAGTGCCTTCAAGCCCTACACTAATCTGTCACTGCATACCTTATGATCAACACTTCCTATGCTTTGACCATCACAACTAAAGTGCATTGTCAATATGACTTCTGAAAATCCACCCTTTTATTGTGAGGGGCCTGGTTTATCGAAAATCCCCCTTATTGACCTTTTTAAAGTCAGCTAATGAAGGTGCAAAGGGCAGGAAGTGCATAATGGTTAGTTTGTTACTATGGCAGAGAAATCCCACATTAGTTCGGTGAGTCTACAATTTGTAAATGTAAATTTGCAAATGGTAGACAAGAACCAAAACCTCATCCCTATAAGTAGCATGAACTCATGGAGGAAATGTCAGGATCATAGGGGTTTTTCCACTGAGATTATAGAGCCAAGAGAGATGTACTAATACAGGTTGATGTAGCATTGGTCTACTAAGTATTGGTTAACTTAACAAAAAATCTGTACCTTGTATATTTCCAAATGTAAACTTTTTTTAAGGACATTTTTTCCTTGGGTATATATTATAAGTAAAACATGCTTTGTTGTTTTTTTTTTTTTATTAAAGGCTTACAAATGTGCAAAAATGTAAAAAAAAATCTATTTTTTTAATTACTGTTTCATGCAATGCTGCAGTTGTATCTGACAGAGGCTTCTGCAGTGCTGCAGTGGCATTTGCCATGCTAGCTGCAGATTGAAGGCTTATTTTGTCAATAAATCCCCCAGCCTGCGATGATCACTATGTTGTATGTGATATAGTGCTCATATGATTGGGAAACACTAATTCGTTGTTGATCATTCGTGGGGACCTGAACTGTCAGTGAAAGCCAAGTTTAAGAGCTAATCTGCTTGCGAACATACAAGCTAGCAATGCTCAAAGGGATGATGTTTATCAACATATTCACAGCATGCAGCATCAACCTTTGGAAAGATAATATGGGGATTGCAAGTAGGAGGGGCATAAAGAGAACCTTTAAGGACAGAAACATGGCAATTGTCATTGCAATTTACAAATCAAGATTAGTCAGTCACTGATCTGGAAATAACATGCAGAATTAAAGTTCAAACTTTACAACACTTTACTGACTGCATGATTGTTCCAGGATTTTTCTTCACTACATAGTCCCACTATAGCGAACCTTTAAAAACAAGTTCACAATAGCAGGCTTATATTTCTATCTTTAATTACTTGCCCTTCTGAGGATTTACCCCCCTTCCTGACTAGGCCATTTTTTTGCATTACGGATCAGAGTCATTTTACCTGCAAATTCATGGTCATTCAACGCTGCACTCAAATGAAATTTGTGTCCTTTTTTTTCCCCACAAATTGAGCTTTCTTTTGGTGGTATTTGATTGCCTGTGCATTTTTAATTTTTTTGCGCTATAAAAAAAAAGACCGACAATTTTGAGAAAAAAACAATATTTTTGACTTTTTGCTATGAAACATGTCCAGTAAAAAATGAATGTTTAAAAATCTAATTTCATCATTATAGCGTTTACAAATGGCGGCATAGATACTGGAATTTTTTTTTTTTTTACTGGTAATGGCAGTGATCAGCGACATATAGCAGGACTGTGGGACTGCAGCAGACATTCTGACACTGGGGGGAACTGACTTGGTGTCACTCACATCCCCAATGACACCAATACAGTGATCAGTGCTAAAAAAAAAAACTGTGTGCAGGGAGTGTTTTACTAGAGGGCCGTGCCTATGTGTTTCACAATGCTCAGCCATCCAAAGAAGTGTGCCTGAGCTGACAGGGAGGAGAACTGTTAGTAAACAAAACAGTCCTCCTCCCCATCGGAAATGCTCAGTAACCACCGGGCGCCGGCGGGTAATCACAGGCCTGGACAGCTTGGTGGCACGGATAGGGCGCGTGCACCCCTTACCTGGAAGTGCAAAATCACATATATATATATATATATATATATATATATACGTGATTTTGCACACCCGTGCCACCCTGTAGCAGTATTTCTGCTATAAGATGGTCGGGAAGTGGTTAAAAGTTCACTTGGACAGTTAATTGATCAGTTGCTGACTATCAATAGCATGACTGATCAGATACATAGTTTGGATTGGTAAAACAAAATTTCACAATCACATTTTTAGTGCAGTCCCCATACTAGCAAGGCCCAGGTCCTTTCTTTAACACATATTCTATTTTTATACTAAAATTAAATACACCAGAAAGCAAGTCAACACTTCCAATACAAGCCTAATAGTTCTCATCGGAACTTTATGGAGAGGGTGTTCCCAATCAATTTCTTAAAGTGGAGCTCCACCCAAAAAAGGAAGTTCCACTTTAAAGACTGCTCCCCAACTCCCCATTAAGGCACCTTTGGGGAGTGGGGGGGAGTGGGTACCCAAATTTTATAGGTACCCGCTCCCACTTCCTGTCCGATCGCCTAGGTGATCAGAAACAGAAAGTGTCCTCCCTCCCTTCCCTGTAGTCTTTTGGGATACATGAAAGTCCCAGAAGACTACAGAACCATTCATGAAGTGCAGCGCTACTCGTGCATGCGCAGTTGGTACCCGAGTGTGAAGCCGCAAGCTATCACAGCCGGGTGGCCACACTCAAGGTGATGGCCTCCTGGAATACAGGACAGCCGGTGAAACGAGCTGTGAGGGACACACCACGTACCGAGGGACAGGTAAGTGGCTGTTTTTTAAAAGTCAGCAGCTATAGTTTTTGTAGCTGCTGACTTTTATTTTTTCATAGGTCGAGTGGAACTCCGCTTTAAGGTTCAGAATTCCATAAACTGACCAGCTATCTTAGTTAATTAACACCCCAAATCCCACATCATCATGTAATGTGCTTCATACTCTGCACTGATGAGGGCCAATTACTCTAAAACAATAGCATGCAAGTAGGAATACATTACATTCAGGGGCAAACTGACAACTCATGGGGCCCCCGGGCAATAGGGGATCATGGGGCCCCTGTGTCCTTGCCCAAACTCAAAAAAACCTATGAAAAAGGTACCAAGGACATCTCATGGGGCCCCCTATGGACCCAGGGCCCTCAGGCAGTGCCCGAGTTTCCAAATGGTCAGTCCGCCCCTGATTACATTTTATAATAAGATGAATTAAGTGACCCTACAACTAATCTCAATCCAACTAATTTTATGATCGACTCTTGACTCATTAAATTCAAAAGAATTTCTCTTTAGGCCGTCATATGTAGGATATTTGTATCAGACCTGACAAATCTGCACTAAATATGTGCATGTATAGTGAAGTTACAAATTAGCTGAATGGGAGATTAATAACTAATAAAAGACTTATATAATAATTGTTTTACTGGTACCATATGATGAACAATCTCCAGACTGAGTTTTGTAAATATAGTTTTTAAATTATTTTTCCATGTCCATTTTCCCCTTTCTTTACTAAAATCTCTTTAAAAAAATCAAATGTGTATGGTTTCTGCAGTGAAAAGAAAACATTCCTGCTTAGCAAGAAACTGTGGAGGTGTTTTATTGCAGATTTAAAACATGCAACACGATTTAAAGAGAATATATTGGTCAGCCAACCAAAAATCTGTCCTATAAAAATAGTTTAGATTTCTGTAACAGGATTATTCACTATGATGGTTCTTTTATAATGCTCTGTACTATTGAACTGGATATTTTAAGAAACACATCAAGGAAACCCAGAAAACATATATTTAGAGTGTGTTAATCTACACCAGTCACTTAAGAAAAAGCTGGATTTGAAATTCAAACCAGTCTAATGGTTTATTGGGGGAGGGTTCTGTTAAGTATTCAAGTCATGTTCTTTACAAAGCCTTTAGGCATTTAACACAATAGCAAGATGCCTTTTTAACTCCTTTGCTGTTGGAAGGAGGCCTGAAACGTGACATGTTACAATGCAGTGACAGTAAAATGAATACACCTGTCCTGAAACAACTCCTGTTTCTTATTTTTTTACAAATGTATCCAAGCCAATTTCCTGTTAGTTAGACCCATGCTGCAGTTATTATGGCTGATGCATTATTACGCATTCAATCCATATCTGTATAAATATTTAAATAAGTGAAAATGAAATTTTCTTTAACAACACTGTTTATAAAACATACATTTTTCATTGAGTAATAGAAAAGCTAGAAGCGCGGTGCATTAAGATGACATATCAAACTACATTTTCCTACTGCGCTTATTCTCTGCTACTTCAGACTGTTTAGTCAATGCCATTAATCAAAATCCTATAGCAGAAATTGCATGCATAAGTCCTACACATTTGTTGCCATGGCAACTATTCAGAGTTTTCTTTATGTGTCAGACAACATCAGTGGAGATAAATTCTATTGTTTTCACACTGACACTTCTTTCTGTGTTGCCTTAATCCATAGAAAAAAACCTTTGCTTTGTAGCTAAAAAGACCACCCAACTTACACATAATAATCACAATTTAAAGCAAGCAATATGCACATATTCATAATTTAACAATGCAACACAAAACATCAAAATACATACCATTGTCCCACTAATAGTGCTTGTGTAAATAATTGAAGATAATATCACAAGCACTTTATCACATAAATGATTGTTTTGACATTGTATCCAAATGGAGGATTATACATAAATAACGTTCCTTTAAGTCAAAGCCTAATATGTGCTTAAAAAGCCTGAAATAAGGATTGTAATTACAGTTACCACATATATAATGTACAAACATACTGTATGTGTGTGTATTCATTTATAAATATTTATGTTTAAAATACATACACTGATCTCTACGCTATTTAATCTATCTATCTATCTATCTATCTATCTATCTAGCTATCTATCTATCTAGCTATCTATCTCTATACATTATGTAAAAAATTATATTAATTAATTATATTTTCAACTAATGTATTGTTCTTAACAATGTTTATCAGTGAAGCATTTTTTCATCTATTTCTCTAGTCTTCTTTTTGTGAGCTGACAAAGCTCATTATCATGATATACTGCAGAAGAGTTCATTTAGGATCCTTTGCAACATCTGTTCCTGGGAGTGCTTAACCTAAGGTTCCCATCTGAAAGAACATAGATTCTTTCATTACATCCAATCTTTGTTTTCTCATCTTCTGGTATCAGAGAAACACAGAACTTGGTTTACAAATATTTTATTTGATGTGTTTGACATGTTTTCTATAGAACTTTTCGGTTTTTGTTTATTCAGATTTGCAGACATACATTTATTGCAGAATACTAACAATTCATTTTTTTAAGCTTATTACCTTAAATATGTTTTTTTTCCTTTTATAATTAAAATTAACCTGTTTATGGAATTTATGAAAGTGTTTTAGCATTACACAGCCTTATTATTTAGCTTGTTCCCTTGACAACCCAATATTCTTTGGGCTAACTCCTCTTGCTCTGAGCACAGCCAATCGAACACTGATCCTGGGACCCCACACATGTGCATTCATTTCTTATTGAGCAGGTCAGTGTGATGCAGTGGGTAGGGCAAGTGAGAAACAGTATGAGGGAGTGTCCTAAAGAAATTAGAAAGCCTTCCTTTTAACCCATACTGTAAAAAAAGTTAGCAGAAAAATGGGCACAGTGTATCACTCATGAAAAGCACCTAAAAATAATTGTAAATCATTAGGTGACGTTAAGGTACTGTGGTCTGTGCAAGTAGTATGCAGGTTTATTGAAAAAAATATGAATAGTAAGAATAAAATCTCCAATGTCGCGTAGATATTTGAAGCAATAGACCAGTTTAGAGATGTCCAGTACAACTCAAAGATAAAGCATGTGGACTCCAAGGCCAAACATGCAGCTGTAAGCCGTACAACTCAGAACAAGTACATGACATTCATGACAGTGAAAATAAAAGTAAATACAGGTGTTAAATGACACACTAACTCCTACATCGATTATTCAGTAGATACCTAGACAGGGTCTAATACATGCATGAAGATTAGAGATGAGCTCAAGCTTCATGTGTTATAAAATATCATAAGTACATAGCATGTATGTATTAAAGTTACGGAGTAACTGAAAAGTTGGTCTATAAGTTGGGAGAATCCAAGGTAAAGATATGAATTGGGCAGGTGTGGTGCGTTCCTCTATGGACACCCTGTCAGGGAATTCCTGTGAGCAAGGTAGCTCCAAGACATGTGCATAGGAATGGTTTTACATGGTAAACTGTGATCAGACATGCACACAAACATGTCCACATTCATTGCTGGTGCCAGCTGGCCTATTTAAAGCATGTCTTGTTCCAGTATCAGTACTGACTGATCTTTAGCTCTATCTTTTGTACTGCTTGTGTCCTGTGTATGACTTTTATTGCTGACCTGGCTTGCCTCTGATCTGATGCTGGATTCTGTCTTTACTTCTGTTTACCCATTCCTGACTTCAGCTCTGCTTATGACTTTGATCCTGCCTATGCCTCTGTACCTCACAGCCCTTCTGCTGCTGAAGTCAACTACCCCTGTGATGACATATTTGTCCCTGATGTGGCTCTACATTACTCTTGAGTGCCTGCCTTGATTGTCATTCTCCAACCACCATTGTGTGTTCTTGCCACAAGCCTGCTGGGGGCTGTGACAAACCAAACTTCCTGAACCTGTAGTACACACAGTGTGCCCATTTAACTTCAGCTGGCCAAGAACACAATGATCTGCATAGATAGCTGACAAGGAAGACAGAGAGATCTCCAATCGGTAGCAAGCCACAACTTTCTTTAACAAATATTATCAACTTACAGATAAGACTGTGTATGATCACTATGATCCTTAAATAAAATACAGTATTTTGGCATGATTAGTCATATTTTTAATATAAATGCCAACATTTCATGATTTCTGCCAGGGCATGTAAACACTTGATCACAACTGCATGTAGCCAGATGAAGGAAAAATTCAAACAAGCTAATGGCTCTCATGAGGCAGTGCCCACACAGCAAGGCTTCCCTCCATGAGCACCTTAAAGTGGCTCAAACCATAGAAATGCAGAAAAGAGTACCAGACCAAAGCCAGAAGAGACTCAACACAGAATGAAACTTAGATGAACTCAGAAAAAATAATGACTTCACAAATCCGCATTAGAATCAGTACTGAACATTGTATATCAACTTGGCAGCAGTTGCTGAACAATGAAGAAAATAATCGGCACTACCGCCACTGCGCTAAAATCTTCCTTTTATTAAATTGACCACAAAAAATTACATCAAAAGTACAGTAGGTTGATGCATTTTGGCCGAACAGCCTCAGTCATAACCCATATGTAGTTTGATGCTATTCGGCCGAAATGCGTCATCCTACTGTACCTTTGATGTCATTTTTTGTGGTCAATTTAATAAAAAGAAGATTTTGCTCAGTGGCAGTAGTGCGGATACTTTTCTTCTTTGATATGTTTGAGGATCCACCCCTTTGTTAAGTGACCACAGGGATTTTGTCTGAGGGGCTATGATTTATTTATTTATTCATCTATAGCTGTTCAGCAACAGCTGACAAAAAGAGGAAGGAGGTGCTACTACCCAACTAAAAGTCCATCCCAGCAACTAGGCAGGTGCACGATCCAGAGCTGCTCATCTATTGAACATATCTTTGTTGCTGTATAGAGGCAGCAGTGGTTCCCATTATAAGAGCAGGTGAAGCCCCAGAAGCACTCTGCATTGATCAAGTAGACCAAGAAAGATTGCAGCCACAACTGCCAGAAGAATGATTCAGGATACAAAGAAATATCCACAGGTAGCCTCAAGAGAAATACAGGCCTGCTCTGGAAAAAGATGGTGTGGTTGTTTAAAGGAACACAATACGACGATACTTGAACAAAAATGAGCTGCATGGTCGAGTTGCCAGGAGGAAGCCTTTAATGTGCCAATGCCACAAAAAAAGTCTGGTTACAATATACCTGACAACACCTTGACATGCCTTACCTTGGCATTGGCATTTTTTCAATATCAATGCCAAAATTTCATGATTTCTGCTAAACGTTTGAGCACAACTGTATGCAAGTTTAAAAGTTCCCAGAACCTCTTTGAGTATGTTCTAATGTACCCACCAAAGTCAGTTGTGTGAGATATACATGTTAACAAATGTCTCAATGGCAGGATATGCCAAAACT